AAAGAGTGTACCTCTGGACAACATATTTTTCCAAATGGCTTTGACAAAAAAAAACTTGTATTAAGAAGTTTTTGTTAAATATGCAGCTAAGTGGCTTAACTTATCTAAAAATTCCTAATAGGTTAGAAAGATACAGCTTCCCTATACTGACACTTTAGTAACTCATCTTTATTTTTATCATCCTTTATAATGAGTTTTATAATACTGTAATTATTGTCATCAATGTACTTGTAGCTTGAGGATCAAGGCTCACAGGTTTGATTCCTAGCATTGGTTCTACTACCTCTTTTATAAAAGGAGATACAGTGTTTGCCTATCTTCTAGTCATCTTATGAGGTAGTTTAATTTAATGAAAGATTGAATTCTTTAGCAGCTTGGACCCTTTTCTTGCACTATTTTCAAGAATCTGAAATGGCTTCACACATATCTTTGGGCTGTTTCCATATCCAGAAGCTCCTCTTGGTAAATTACTTTCTAGTAGTACCTTTTTGTGTGTTTTTAATTACTCCCTCGGTTCTTTCAGTTCCCTGTGGTTTGTGAAGTCTCTTGCAGGTTTTTGTATGTACTGGGATTTTTTTTTTTAAATCCTCAATACTTTTTTTTTTCCCCCTGTCCTTGAATGTGTGTGTTCTCAATGCTGTTTTTTGACCGCTGCAGTGTTTGTCTTAATGCTAAACAATAGTTGTTTTGAAAACTTCCAGAACAAATTTCAGAGTTGGGATATATAGTTTTGTCTCAAATAACCTTTGGAGGTTTTTTCGGTCCATCTTTCCATGCATAGGGGCATGCCCATATTTGTGCAATAACACCTGCAGGAAACCTGCTAAAAACCTGCAGAAACACCTGCTAAAACCTAGTTATGATCTAAAATGTTTTAGTACGTCACATAACATGCTGATAATGGAAAATACTATGAACATTGGATTTACTGATGATTTATACTTGGAATCAAAGAAGTTCATTTTAATTCTGAAAATATTTCAACTTTGTTTTTTGGCTTTGTTCGCTTTGCTGAAATGGGGCTATTGTTAAGCTATGAGCTTTAGCTGCTCATGTGGAGGTACCAAGTGTGTTGGTTTTGCTGGTATTTCAAAAATACTTTCTAAATGAAAATAACTAGTCTCTTTGTTTCTGTTTTTGTTTCTTTGTATATCAATTTTAGATAATTTCTGTTAGATGCAAAAGTAGGGTGATAGCTTTTTGAAGGTGAAGGGAAGGAAGACAACTCTTCTGCTAAAGAAAGACTTAACTTTGGTTGCTCACTAGTGGAGGAAGATCAGGCAGAATGGAGCAGCATTTCACTCGCATTGTTCAGAGGGTAGAGCTGCCTTTCACTCTTACCTTTTCTACCTTCTGCTACTTTTGCTATGGGATGAGGAATAAACTTGCTGATGCAAGGTCATTCTCTTATGGAGAAATGAAAGGAATTTAGTAAGAGAAGTCATCTACTTGCATGCATTTTCCTACTTCCTTCCTCCTGCTGGAAAAAAACTTTTCATTGATTTCTAGAGGAATTTTTTAAAATATTGTGGGGAAAAGAATACCTGCTTGATGTATTTGAAGAAATGTTGAAAAAATAAATTAATACCATTTCCCCCTTCCCCCTGCAAAGTGAATACATGTGTGTGTGTGTCTGTGTTACCCAGATGTTGCCATCTTCAAGGCCAAAAAGTGCTGCATTACACTCGTTTGGAAAGGGTTACTCTTTTCTACTGTACTGCATCTTGTCTTTATGAATGTCCTGAGTAGGTGTGGGTGTAAGGGTGGCTGCGTGAGATGGATTCTTGGGGACCCTCCCCTTGGCTCTTCCTATGAAGAGAAATGTTGAAAAATACGCACATGGTTGTCTCACAGGAAGGGTTTGGCATGAATAGTTACGGCCTTTTAGAGAGGGTCCTCAAAAGCCAGAGACCCAGGCATTTGCTCTCACAGAGGTGGTTTTTATTCCCCTGAAAGCATTTGGCTGAGGTATGTGAGGAGGATCGTACAGTCTCGCAGGTGTTCTTAATAGGAAAACAAAGCTGGCTACTAGCAGTGTCTGTGTCCTCTTACATTGCTGTGAGTAGAACCTAATAGTAAATTCCCCCTCGTATTTACTGTTTTTCTTGCTCTCTCTCTCTCCGAACTCTCAAGGTTATTCAGTTATTTTCCTCACAATTTCATTAGGAAATTTGCCAAAAACATCCTTTCTAGGCAGCTGTCTCTGGACCTTTGGAGGCCAGCACTAATGTGCTTCCAGTCTGTAGGGGGTGTTTGGCACGAAATTATGAACTAGGCCTTCAGCGCTTCGGGGGAGAGAGGGGAAGAGATCGCAAACATTTTACCACACCCAGGTGCAAATTTTTTGCTCATCTATGAGCATTCAGAGGTTTTCATCACATGTTGTACCTGCCTTGTCCTGGTACAAGGTCTGTTAACAGCAGCAAATTGTTGATGTGAGAGAATTACAATGGAAGAGCTATTTTTTTTCTGTTCACCAAATGTTGCTTTGAAGGAAAGCTTTTGTCTGTCTGAGGGGGAGCGACTCCAGCACTCTTAAAACTATTCAGGTATAATTTTTTAATGAGGCATTGATTTGTTGGGGTTTTTTTGTTGTTTGGTGGTGTTTTTTTTTTTAATCTTGAAGCTTGAAGGTGCTGTCTGCATGTGATACTTCATGTAAAATTGATTGAAATATTAAACGTTTTGCCAAAATTAATATTGGGAGGAGTTAAAAGGTATCAGAAAGAGCAGGAAACGCATTTCAGTGCTTGCTTTCATACCCCCGCTTAACAATATAGGCAACTGCTGGACCGTATGTACATACAATATATTTGTCAGACTAACTGCTTCTGGTGTTTGACTAAACTGTCTCCTTTCAGCCACCCACACAGAATATGCCTATGGGTCCGGGAGGGATGAGTCAGAGCGGCCCTCCCCCACCTCCGCGCTCGCACAACATGTCTTCAGATGGTATGGTAGGTGGGGGCCCGCCTGCACCACACATGCAGAACCAGATGAACGGCCAGATGCCTGGTAAGTTTTTCTCCTCTAAGACATTAACACCAGCGTTGCCTGGCAACTGAAACGACATGGGGGCTCAAGGGATACTAGATTGTTGATGACAAAACTGCTTTGAATGCCCCCGAGTACAAGCTCTCTTAGAGTTTGTTAGCTACAGAGCTACGTGACCTGTATTCAGTGTTTATCAGGCTGCCCTTGGGCTTTGATGTAGCTGACACACAGCATTCCTCTGATGAACAGAACTGGCTAAATTTAGTCTGTTTGAAGCGGCGCAGTACAGCTGGCTTTAGAAGGCTTATTGGGGAAAGGTATTGGCCTGTGGCTGAGTGAACACAAATCCTTCCATAAAAAGATAATGTGAAATACATTGTAGCTAAATAATTAGATAATCATAAAATAGATACATCTTAAAAAGGGTGTTTCGAACATGGGTAAACATTAAAAAAAAAAAAAATAAAAAAAGATCATTTTTATACAGAAAGTCATCCAGCTTCCAGTAATCCTCTGTGTTCTTTATTATTGAAGATGTGTTGAATCGTTAAGGGATTTGTGAAGAAATGGCCTGCAGATTATTGTTCTAGGTGTAAATTTTAAGTCAGTTTTTATGCCATCCTGTTTTGTAATAAAAGGAAAAGTGCATGGGAAGTCAGAAACAAAGCGGTGAAACAAGATGATAAAATTCCACATTGTACCTACCACTGCTGGATTTGGCGTAACTATTCCCTTTAGCAGTCAGATCAGAATGGAGTAGGCCCTGGAAAAGCTTGCTTCTTTATATAGGGGCTGTTTTCCAGAATTTCTGCTCATAAAGTCATACTGCCTATTTCATGTGAATTGGCTTTCAGCTTACAGTTGCATTCCCAGGATTGCTTTTGTTCAGGACCCCTTCATTCTTTTTTTATGTGGAGGAACTTTTCCTATAGAAGCTCTTCAAGGTACTGATTCTTCCAAGAAAGGAAACTTCTATCAAAGGATCTTTGAAAATTCATCTCGGTGGTCACAAGGATAAGCTCCATAACAGCAAACACAGTAAATAACTATGCAAAACTTAATAGGAAGTAAGCAATATGATGATTGCTGCAGTGCCTTAATTTCTGTGCAAATCTTGATTAAAATGAACCTGGTAGTGTTAGTGACAGCTTTTCTGAGAAGTGTAGCTGAATAGCCTCCAGAGGCCGTGTGTAAAAAGTGTAATAAAAGATCTAGAGAAGAAGTTAAGTTTCATCATACATGTTGGTCATGGCCTGCATTTGGAAGTGGAAAGAGCAATATATGCTGCTCCCTAAGTAGGGCAGCAATATTCTGGTTGTGGAGTCCTCTATCCATCTAAGATCCATCAGCTCCCATGGAGAATAGCATTGCCTCTCACAAATCAGTCTCTTTGACCCTCTAGTGTAATCATATTATTGTTATTATAATGATCTTTTCCAAGGAGAAGGATTACTAAGTCACAATGTGAGCATAATGACTTCACTGCAGAGCCACAGGGGAGAAAAGTCACTCCTTAAACATACATATTTTGTAATTAGATAGAATAAGAAAAGAGCTCTTATGAAAATATGTGAAAGGTAAATAGGTTTGTTTTTGTATTCACCTAGACAGATGCTCAAATACAGTTCCAACTAAGCTTTAATTTAGCCTTTCTTCCAACATATTCCCTTTTTTGCATGTCTGTTCCTTCCCTTCTCTGTTTAAGGTTGTCTCTGAGGATGTGAAGATAAACAGCTTAGGATGAGGGCATCTCTCATATCGGAAAGACATGCTAAAATCTTTTCATAGTTAGGCATTGGAGAAGGGGAAACAGAATAATCTTGTGAAGTGGATAGCTGAATGATTATTTTCTTTTCTAAGTGTTTGCTAGTTTGCCTGCATATGAGCCTTTGTGTATTTCATAGACATGTATTTGTAATCATTTCTGCAGTGTATGCATTTGCTTTCTGTTTATAGGGCACTTACTCTAAAGCTATGTAGACACTTTGTAATAGAAGCTAGATACAAAACCCAAAATATCTGAAGAGATGATCTGTCAAAAAAATAAAGTCACTAACTGAGAGACTCCGGGGTCAACAACCACGAGTTGACCAGTCTGGAAGAAATAAAATGCAGGCTCTTAAAAATACCAGATAAGGATTTCTGGAAGGCTTTGTCTGGGTAGAGGCTTCCACAGGGCTGAGTATGGGTGGAAGGGTTGATGGGAGGATTAAAAGAACTGCGTAGTGATGATCAGGGCATAAGTTGATTTCAAGTTCTGCCATAGACCTGTCCCATTACCTAATGAGCAAAGGATGATTTTTCTCCTACCTGTGTTCTGGTTAATAAAGGACATGAAGTACTGCTGAGGCTCTTAATTGCATCCCCTGATAAATGAGTGTCTGTATCCTCTTAAAAGGCAAGGCAGTCATGACAAGCCTTTCTCAGCCTATGCTGGAATTGAGTGTTAGCTGTACCTGTGACAGATTATGGCTTCTACCTGAAATAATTACTGTCTGAGGAATTACACTGACTGAGTTTGTGTGATGCGAAGTAAGGGTGGTCTGGATTTGGAAGGAGATGATGAACTGGGTTCTACTGGTGGCATGTTAATCTTCCCGATGTCTTGAGCTTGTTCTGTTGTGTGTAGTAGGTTGAAAGGTAAGACTAGCTGTAGGGTTCTCTGACCTTTGTCCTGGCACCTGTAGGTCACCTTCCTGAATAACAGGTGTTTGCGTATTGTCAACAGGTTCTCTCAAAGTCATGGAATCACTAAGGTTGGAAAGGACCTT